CTTTTTCGGCTACATATTATTTATAATTATATTAATTGAATAAAAATGCACTTTAAAATGATGTTTCATCGCTTTTTATTAATTACAGACCCAAATTTGTGTTTTTCAAATAAATTCTCCTTACTCACTTTTACACTAAATGAATTTATCTATTTCTAAGTAAAAATTGAAAGTGTCTGTACAAGTAATTTTTTAAAATATCCTTTTTCGTGATAAAGTTTTAATACTTATTATTATAATGTAGACATGTTAATCTTTAAATATACTTGTATATTGGGCCACAAGTATATATTACATATACTTGTGGCCCAAAACTCCTTGACTTCTTCCAATGCGGCCCAGAGAAACAAAATGGTTGGACACACCTGTTATAGATGTTTACATAGGAAACTTTTTATATTTAACAGTAAATATTAATTTAGTCATATTAGATTACACAAGTAAAACTGTATCTTTACTTTTTTATTATACAGATCACATTACAGTAATATCTCGACTTACGCAAACCCGGAGTTACGCGATTTTCAAATCTCGTCGATTCGTCTTTTGTTTGAGCAGCATGCAGCTCTTGATTACTCACTCTCCCCACAATATTGTTCAGCTTACACGTTCGGATGTGTCACGCGGAATCGACGCACAGTTACAATTTATTTCTGTGTTTGTTATATCTACAGAGACTTGAGAGACTCTATATGGTGATTTCTTGTAACTGTGAATGAATCAAAAGACATGATAAAATTCAGCAACAGCCGCATGTAACTCAAAAAGAACCGCATTTGCCCATGTCTGCTATAGAGAGTACTGTGTAAATTTAAAAGGACATGTGCAAACAAGACAATTTTGTTTACATTAACATTAAATAAAAATGGTACTGTACATTAACAACTGTGATAACTTACTGGACAAATTACTACAACTTTAACAATGAGTTTAGTAGAATGTTAGCATTTTCAATCCATGGATTGAAAATCTCAGGGATTGAAAGTCAAAAGTGGAATGTTTGAATAAGATTTTAGAACATTAGCATTCTTCTAAAATCCCACTGTTGAAGATGCAATAATTAATTCAGGGCATTAAATAAATAATGTCTTAGATATTGTTAAAATTAACATGGATAGTTCATACTGCTTAAAAGAAGACAAAATTATGGCAAATTTAAATCAAATTACAATTAATTGGATTTGAAAGAAAAGAATTAAGTTAAGTTTATTCTTATTGAATTGTGTTTGCATTTAAGATAATGTTCATTCCTAACCTTCATGGAATCAATTTTACCATTTAAAAAAAATTCAAAAATAATAATGGTAAAAACTTGCAAATGTATTGTTGAATGTTAAGCAAAATGCAAGGAGATTTGTGCATTATTATTGCTTTCTTACAGGAAAGTTACACTTCAACTTAGTAAACAAATTATTATTTATAAGCATAAGATACTTCATATTTTAAACTTAATTAATATATATTTAGAATTGGATGTGAATCTTTGAACAAATTAAGTTGCACAAATACTGAATGTGCTTGGAAATTCAAATGGACCAAAGTAAAATGCAAGCAGCATTATCTGCAATGCTAGGGGAAAAAAACTGATTTTGAAATGAAGATGAAACTGATTAAGTACAAAGCAAACAAAAGTTATCATCTATTACACAGGAATTAAATTTTCTGCTCCAAAATTTTAGTGAATACCATTTTAACATAGTTTACAAACTGCAAGTACTGCGTAAGCATTTAAGGACAATTCCAATATGCATAAACTTCCATGAAGACAATGTTTTAAAAAAGTCAGGGAATAACTGTAATAGTTCACTTAGCAATAATAAATTAAAAGTGTTTCAGTTAATTATGTATTAACTTGTTTTAAAAGAACTTTAAGTAATGAATATGATTTTCAAATTATAAGATCAGTAGTTTCCCTCATCAAACTCAGTGTGTATTTTCTAAAAAAGTGTTTTTTGTTTTCATAATACAATCATAAAACAATTTAAATCCTAAAGTTTTCAAAATAAGGATTAAAAAAACAAACATTATTACATTAACAAAACCATAAAAAACTATCATTTTGTTAATTGAAATTTTTTCATATTTTACAAGGTAATTAATCTAACACTGTAAGATGTGCAAATCTCATACATATTGAATTTGTAAGCTGTTAATTTTTTATGTTTTTGTTAATGATTAACTGTTCACAATTTTTATTTTTTTTATAAATTTCATTTACCCTAATGATAATAAGGTTTATTCCCTAAAAGTTCTCAACAGATTAAAAAGTTTAAACTCCTAGAAGAAAGTCTTTTTAATCTATTCAGAGAGTACTATATATAATACATTAAACCCGTAAAAAAGTATAGTAGTAACACTATTTTATGTCTTCATTCTTGACTATTTTTGGCTGTTCAATCCTAATGTACCATGCCACTTCATAGTATTTTCCACATATTTTTGTAATTTATAATTAAACATTATTAGCTTTATAAGATATTTTCAGTCATTTCATCTGTATCAAAAAGATTTAATAAAAGAGTAATTCATAGTAACAGCAATTAGTAATGGTAAAATATTAGAAAATTTATAATAAAGATTTTGGATTTTATATGGATATGTCTTTAAATTTTTTTATAACTATCTTTGTTATGAATGTTGCAAACATGCATTATTATTTTTGTTTCTAGTGAATATAAAAAGATGTGATTTAAATAACTATCAAAAATAAGGTTACAACAGATTTATTGCTGAAAATAATATGATTATTATTTGAATGACTCACAAAAACCATTGAATATCCAGTAAAACTATTTAATTGAAATAACAAGCATTTTTGACCTTAATATTTGGTCTTGATCAGGTTTTACAAATGCTGAGATTCTAAGAACAGTTCTGTGCAATGATTTAAAACATTAGAATATTGTGCATGTGCATTGCCATGGCTCCATATGTGATGCTAACATATGCAGCATTCATAGCACAAATGAAATATTATAAGTATTATAAACACAAATCAAATAAAAGAAAATAAAATACAATAAAATAAACTAACAGAAGTATGTATACATTAGAGGTGTGGGGTTGTGGTCTCCCTTATAATCCGATCACTAGAAACTCTTGAGATATACAAGGCCGGAGTACGTAATAACTGCATCAATTCCAAAGATGCTATTAATATTTCTCAAGCTTGGAAGTTCTGTTATGAGGGAGACCACAACCCCACACCTCTAATGTATACATACTTCTGTTAGTTTATTTTATTGTATTTTATTTTCTTTTATTTGATTTGTGTATATAATACTTATAATATTTCATTTGTGCTATGAATGCTGCATATGTTAGCATCACATATGGAGCCATGGCAATGCACATGCACAATATTCTAATGTTTTAAATCATTGCACAGAACTGTTCTTAGAATCTCAGCATTTGTAAAACCTGATGAAGACCAAATATTAAGGTCAAAAATGCTTGTTATTTCAATTAAATAGTTTTACTGGATATTCAAAGGTTTTTGTGAGTCATTGATATATTTTCCAGTATCTTTACAATAAGGTATTTAACCTTTCCTCAAGATTATTATTTGATTTGAATAAATTCTATTAGTCATAAATTACTGGTAGATTTATAATTCTGATATTTATCATTCACTAATTTAATTAAAATTTATATAAATTTTTAAAAAATTATAGCAATCTATCAAAATATATAATAATAATTTTTTTGTACTAACCTTTATCAATATTGCTGTTATTTAAATTTTTTACCACCACCATTGTCTTCAAAGTTAATTTTTTTCCAGAAATTTCATTGTTCGTTAGTGATTTAATTATATATTTTGTAACATTTTCATAATATTTCTTTGTTTGTGTTGTTATTTCAGGATAAATTCCAATAAATGCATCACAGACACAAAGATTAAAATAAACATATTGATTCTAAGAAGAAAAATATTTTTTGCAATAGATTTTTGTATGGTAAAAAATATATTTTAAAAATAATTATAATGAAAATAAAATATAATTATAAATAGTTTTAATTTATGCACAATAATTATTATTTAAATCAGTAACGTAGAGTCTATAAAGAAAAATTTAATATGCTTAATATTTGAATATTAAATTTTTCAGGTATAGTAATTAATATATAACTATACTATAATTAATATATAACTAAACTATATTACAAAATTATATTAAATCTAGTTACAGAAATATATTGTCCACTAATTAAATATTAACTCTACATTATAAAAAAATAATGTTTTATAGATTATAAAAGTTGAATTGATATAAAGAATATAAAATATGTTTATTAAAATGTTTTGTTTAACTTATAACTAAATAAGATTCTTGCAAAAAAAAAAGTTACAAATTTCTTTTGAAAAGTCAATTTATGAGAATCACACAGAACATTTTAATTTATTATTAAAAGAGTTTAAAATAATTCTTAGAAAATAAAATTTATTGTCTGAATTTTAATAAAAAATAAAAAATTAATTTTAGTGAAGCTTAACAAACCTCTTTATCTTTTGTTATATCTGATAATTCATTTCTCATATTAAATGGAAAAAGAGAGATGAATTTCATTAAGTCATTGCTTTGAAATAACTTGTTATATGATTTTATCTGAAAAATAAAAATAGTAAAATTTATGTTATCATTTTTCTAAGATTTAGTTATTAATACAGCTCTCCCTTGATAGTCCGATGTTTTTTAATCCGACATGCTCAGTAGTCCAATGCACCTCCCCTGTCCCCATTGCGTATCTGCTTGCACAGAAGCATGTCGCAATGTGAATCTCCCCATCCAATTCTTACACGATGACATTTCGTGTGTTTTCTGTGGGCAGTTCTGTTTGAACAGTTGGAGTAGGGAATATTGTAAGCTACGGCTAGAAAAACAATGCAAAATATGTAATTATTTTTGGTAATCTGGACACTTTTGGTAATCCAACACCCCTTTGGTCCCATACCTGTCGGACTATTAAGGGAGAGCTGTACTAAATAATAATTATATTACCTACAAAACCATGACATAAATTCTTAAACAGAAAAAAAAAGGTTTTCTTTTTTGTATAAAGAAATAATTAATAGTCAAAAACAACCAAAGATTTAATAGCTGATCATGTATTGGTATTATTATTATTATTATTATTATTATTTTATTTTTTTTGAGAGTTATACTTGGTTGACACCATTTTCTGTGTACTATACCAGACCAGAGTAAGGCATAGTAACCAAAACAAGACAAAAATTAAATAAGTGTGTCAGTGTGTGTGTGTGTGTCTGTATTCAGGAATTTCCTAACAATATGATATGTATTCAATATAGTGAGTGGTCTTCTGTAGTATGATGTATGTGTTTCTATTCAACTGTAATGTTCCCAGGCTTTTGTGTAGTCTGTGTGGTATGACACTTGTAGAAGAGAGAACAACAGGTATAACAAACACCTTTTCCATCCTCCACAGATGACTTACAAGGTCTGTTCAAAAAGTATCGGACCTTTGGTCGGTAAAAATAAATTTATTGACTTTGAGGTACAAAACCCTAATCCCCTTCAAAGTAGTCTCCTTGGTAATGTATACACTTCTCCCAGCGTTCCTGCCATTGCTGGAAACACTGCTGGAACGCATCTTTTGGAATGG